TTTATTTTGATTTTATCCTCGGCGCCTGTTATTTCAGTGTATTATCCTCTTGTGTCATCCCTTATATACCCCAAGTTTTCCTAATTAGAAAACAAGGGGGGGGTCCCCCGCGTATGGATAACTAGGGATAAAAGGGAAAAATGGTTGGTGAAGGAGGTATCCCAGTTAATTGGATTTTTTATATTTGGGGCAATGTATATAAGGGAATAAAAAATCAATGGGCCGATGGGACCCTTGTAGTCACGCAGAAGCGCAAAGGGGAAAGGGGGCCCCTTTATACGGGCGGGGGGGGGGGGGGGGGGTCGGTTGTAAAAAGGAAGAGGAAAGTATATAATGGGGGGAAGTAGTGGTGGGGGGTGGTATAGGGATAAAATGCAAAAGGGATGAAGGGGGAATAAGAAGGGGTAGTGATAAGATACACAAGTCAGGAGTGGATGTGTTAGCGAAGCAGAACATCAGCAGCAGTGAGTACTAGACTTCACTATTTTTTCGGTACTTTTGTGATAGTTACCCCTGTTCATATTTTGCGCTACCCTTTGCGTGGTAGTCTGTTGTGAGTGGTGCTCCATGGTGACACCCCCTACGCTCCTTCGCCTGCCCGTCTGCAGTAATAGTTTCTTTTCCCACCATTACGTACCCTTATCAAGAATGCGGGCTAATCACTTCCAAATTCCGCTGAGGGTTTTAGTCAAAATCTCTCGATGTTCAACCGTTTTTTCCCCTTTTTGGGTGGGAAGTCACTGGTGGGGTACGTATCCACATAAAAAAATTTTGGGGAAAGGGGGGAGAGAAGAGTGCCTAATAAATCCCGGGCAGCATAGATTTCTTAAGTCTAAGGAGGGATCCCAATCTATGTAGCATCTTTCCTAGAAGGGGAAAAGGGAAAAGAATGGTTGTTAGGGAATTGGTGAAATTGCTGGCTAGCAGATATGCAAGGGAAATTGCAAACCCCTTTTATTGACAACTGGAAAAACTTTTTGGAAACATATGTAGCAAGGGGTGGTGTACCTTCTGGGGCTGGGGGTGGGGCACTTGCAGATCGATTAGAAGGCCATTTGGGGAAATGCTTAGATTTTAAACTCATAGAAGATAGAGGTATGGGTGTATGTGGGAAACAAGCAGGTTGCAACACTAGAGTTCGAAACAGTAAATGTATAAAAGGCATTCAGCATGAAGTTATAAATAAAAACAATAGATCAGGTCAGCAAACAAAGGGGGACAGCAGAGGGCAGCAAGGGACTAGCTCCCTTAAGGTTTACTATACTAATAGCAGGAGTGTAAGAAATAAGATAGATGAGCTAAGATTAATTGCAAGTGCAGGAAACAGATATTATTGCTATAACAGAGACCTGGCTCAATCTGAAAGATAGAGATGCCCTCTGAATGTCACATACAAGGCTATAAATTATTCCACACTGACAGGGTCAACAGGAAAGGTGGTGGAGTAGCGATGTAAGAGACAATTTAAATTGTTGTGTTAGACAAGATATAAAATTAGAAGCGTCAGCCACTGAATCTGTTTGGTTACAGCTTCTCGAGGGCCGAGAAAAACTAATTTTGGGTGTGATTTACAGGGCCCCAAATCTTGATAGGGAGTGCAGTAAACTTCTATGGGACGAAATTCGTAAGGCATCTACAAACGAAAATGTTATGCTAATGGGAGATTTCAACTATAGACAGATTGACTGGAGCAATTTGACAGGAAATTTAGAGTCAGGTGACTTTCTTGATACGATCCAGGATGGTTTTTTAAAACAGTTTGTGACAGAGCCAACTAGGGGAAATAACCTGCTTGACTTGGTTCTTGCCAGTAGGGAATTGCTAATTAATAATCTTGAGGTTAATGATGAGCTTGGGGAAAGTGATCACAAATCACTCAGTTTTAATATATCATGGAATTCCCCTAATAATGGCAATCAAGTCTCTGTCCCTGACTTCTGCTTGGCTGATTTCATAGGACTGAAAAATTACTTAGGTGGGCTGAACTGGAATGACCTGACTAAGGGTCAGGTAGGTGGTGATGGATGCCGATATGACGCTTTCCAGGGCATAGTTCTAGCTGCTCAGTCAAATTATGTTCCAAATAGGGAAATCAGATCAAAAAAAAATGATCCTAAATGGATGAACAATAGATTAAAATATCTAATTGGTCAAAAGAGAGGCATATATAGGCAAATCAAAAGAGGAGAGGGGCAATTAAGAAATCGATATATTCAGTTAAAGAGAGAAATAAAAAAAGGAATTAGAAAAGCAAAAAGAGATTGAGGTTAAAGTTGCAAGAGATTCGAAGACTAACCCAAAAGGATTCTTTCAGGTATACAGAAGTAAGATCAGGGACAAGATAGGCCCACTCAAAAGTTCCTCGGGTCAGCTCACGGACAGTGATAAGGAAATGTGTAGAAGTTTTAACACATACTTCCTCTCAGTTTTTACACAGGAGGATACCAGCGATATTCCAGAAATGATAAATTATGTGGAACAGGACAATAATAAACTGTGCACGATTAGGGTCACAAGTGACATGGTCCTTAGGCAAATAGAATAAATTAAAACCTAACAAATCCCCAGGCCCTGATGAACTGTATGCAAGGGTTCTAAAGGAATGTAAAGAGGAGCTTAGCAAACCTTGGCTAATCTTTTCAACATATCACTACAAACTGGCATGGTGCCAGATAAGTGGAAAATGGCAAATGTGATACCTATTTTCAAAGCAGGTGACAGGTCCTTAGCTTCAAACTATAGACCAATAAGCCTAACCTCCATAGTGGGAAAATTTATGGAATCAATAATTGCCGAGGCAGTTCGTAGCCACCTTGAAAAGCATAAATTAATCAACGAATCTCAGCATGGTTTTACAAAGGGGCGTTCCTGCCTTACGAATTTGTTAACTTTTTTCACTAAGGTATTTGAGGAGGTAGATCATGGTAATGAATATGATATTATGTACATGGACTTCAGTAAGGCTTTTGACAGGGTCCCACATCAGAGACTATTGAGGAAAATTAAGGCATATGGAATAGGAGGAGAAATTTTTTCCTGGATAGAGGCATGGTTGACAAATAGGCAGCAGAGAGTTTACATAAATGGGGAGAAATCAGAGTGGGGAAGCGTCACGAGCGGTGTTCCACAGGGGTCAGTGTTGGGCCCCCTGCTGTTCACAATATACATAAACCACATAGATGAGGGCATAAAGAGCGACATCAGCAAGTTTGCCGATGACACCAAAATAGGCCGTCGAATTCATTCTGACGAGGACATTAGAGCACTCCAGGAAGATTTGAGTAGACTGATGCAGTGGTCGGAGAGGTGGCAGATGCAGTTTAATATAGACAAATGCAAAGTTCTAAATGTTGGACAGGACAATAACCATGCCACATATAAACTAAATAATGTAGATCTTAATATTACGGATTGCGAAAAAGATTTAGGAGTTCTGGTTAGCAGTAATCTGAAACCAAGACAACAGTGCATAAGTGTTCTCAATAAAGCTAATAGAATCCTTGGCTTTATATCAAGAAGCATAAATAATATGAGTCCTCAGGTTGTTCTTCAACTCTATACATCCTTGGTTAGGCCTCATTTAGATTATGTTGCACAGTTTTGGTCACCGTATTACAGAATGGATATAAATGCTTTGGAAAATGTACAAAGGAGGATGACAAAGTTGATCCTATGTATCAGAAACCTTCCCTATGAGGATAGACTAAGGGCTCTGAATCTTCACTCTCTAGAAAGACGTAGAATTAGGGGGGATATGATTGAGGTGTATAAATGGAAGACAGGAATAAATAAAGGGGATGTAAATAGTGTGCTGAAAATATCTAGCCTAGACAGGACTCGCAGCAATGGTTTTAAGTTAGTAAAATTCAGATTCAGGAAGGATATAGGAAAGTACTGGTTTGGTAATAGAGTTGTGGATGAGTGGAACAAACTCCCAAGTACAGTTATAGAGGCCAGAACGTTGTGTAGCTTTAAAAATAGATTGGATAAATACATGAATGGGTGTGGGTGGGTGTGAGTTGGACCTGATTAGCTTGTGCTACCAGGACGGTTGCCGTGTTCCTCCCTTAAGTCAAGGTGACCTGACCTAACTAGGTTGGGTGCATTAAGCCGGTAGGAGACTTGGACCTGCCTCGCATGGGCCAGTAGGCCTGCTGCAGTGTTCCTTCGTTCTTATGTTCTTATGTACATCGTAGGCTTCTTTATTCGAATACAGAGGTTCCTAAAACTGGAGACACCAGAAGCAGTGGAGAGAGAAAGCTGATGTGATTGCTCCATTAGCCTTTAAGAAAGTTTTGGTGGTGAGTCCCTCGGCTTTGAGAAGCGTATAGCTTCATTGTCTAGATCAACTTGCCAATATTACAGTTATTGTTATAATGAAACAATGTCAGTGTATACAGAGGTTGTGGTCTGAGCTTGTACAGTAGTGATCGTCGTCTTGCACAACCTCGTGGTAAATCTGTTGCTACAGTAGTGTAGCAAAAATAAGTAAACATTAGGACATTAATGTTTTATTAATATTAAATAATAATAACTAAATTTAGGCTCATTTAAAATACGATGGTTAGGATTAAGATAAATATATAACGTTAATTGGAGGAAGGTTTGATGACTGTTTAGTTTTTGTGCAAACAAAATACCAGATTTTAAAAAAATACAGTTTGAGGGACTCTGGGTAACCAACACAAGGTTGGTACTTGTGTGTGGGTCTTACCTTCACTTACAGTGAAGTATCTTCATGCTGGTGATGGGCTCATGGTCCTGGCAGTTGGAGCTGCCATTTCTTTCCCCAAATCAAAACAGATTGCCTCCAATTTCCCAGGCAGTATATGTGCCCCATACAGGATTGCCCACCCCATACAAGAAGTAACATGCATATTATTAGTAGTAGTAGTATTGTTGTTATTATGTGAACCAATGAACGGGTTGGTTCACTGAGTGCAAGGTCAGGCTGGATCTTCCGTACTAGCCGCGTCTAAGCTAAGCGTTGTGTGTTACAGGAGAAGCGTCCATCACGGGACATAGAGACGGAGACTGAACCAGAGGAGGTGCTGGCTGTTGAGGCCGGTGGTGGGTCCTCCTGTTCCCTCTCCTCCGTGTCAGCCTCTCTCTCAGACAAGAGTGTCTCCACTGATAATATAGAGGAGATCAAGAGTGACGTCCCCTTCGCTGGTAAGTACACAACTAACCTCTCTTACTCACTCTTCAGAGTTTCTCCAAGAATAATGTTGCTTTCTCTTTCTGGCTCATTTTTTTTTTTTTTTTTTTTTTGCTCTCTTGCTAAACTGACACACTTTTAGTATTTATATAAAGAATGAATTTTTTGCCGCTAAGCTCGCCGCACTACTTGTGTGTGTGTGTGTGTGTGTGTGTGTGTGTGTGTGTGTGTGTGTGTGTGTGTGTGTGTGTGTGTGTGTTAGTTACCATTTGGTCCTAGGCACATGTCGATTAGACACTAGGCCTGTTGTATATGTGTGTGTGTGTGTGTGTGTGTCAGTGTGTGTGTGTGTATGTCTGTGTGTGTGTGTTAGTTACCATTTGGTCCTAGGCACATGTCGATTAGACACTAGGCCTGTTGTATGTACATGCATATGTATGTGTGTGTGTCAGTGTGTGTGTGTTAGTTTATGTATGTATATATATTTTTGTATATGTACGTGTATGTATATATATATATATTACACACGGATAACTAGAACGTAATAAAAAGTTGTCAATGTGCAGTAATAACCCACACGGGGATAGAAACACACGAGATTAATTGGTCTGTATATTTAGATTCCCTTCTGGGATCCTCTTCAGAAGTACATATCAGCACCTAATCTGACACGGAACATCAACACATCATCAAGGATTACATAGCACAAAGGAACTTCCTACCCAAATTTTTAGCTTCATTCCAGGACCTGTGTTCTCACCCACCCGCTACTTGACACGTCCCTTCACTCACGTGTACGGGCGAAGGGGTAACCTTCCCTATGTATTTTTGTTCTCGTTTCATTTATGTATCTGATGAAGAGGATCCCAGAAGAGGACCGAAATATACAGACCCATTAATCTTGTGTGTTTGTGTCTCCGTGTGGGTTATTACTGAACACTGACAAGTGTTTATTACACTATATACATGTATATGCAATAAAATCAGAGTAAATAGGAGATATCACAATATGCAAAACAACCAGACAAAAAAATAGTGAACTTCAAAGCGTTTGCGTGATTTCTCACATTATAACACACACACACACACACACACACACACACACACACACACACACACACACACACACACACACACACACACACACACACACATCTATCGAAACAGGGAGATTGCCTGAGGCATGGAAGACAGCAAATGTAGTCCCAATCTTTAAAAAAGGAGACAGACATGAAGCATTAAACTACAGACCAGTGTCACTGACATGTATAGTATGCAAAATCATGGAGAACATTATCAGGAGAAGAGTGGTGGAACACCTAGAAAGGAGTGATCTCATCAGCAGCAGCCAACTTGGTTTCAGGAACAGGAAATCCTGTGTCACAAACCTACTGGAGTTCTATGACATGGTGACAGCAGTAAGACAAGAGAGAGAGGGGTGGGTGGATTGCATATTCTTGGAATGCAAGAAGGCGTTTGACACGGTTCCACACAAGAGATTGGTGCAAAAACTGGAGGACCAAGCAGGGATAACAGGGGAGGCACTACAATGGATCAGGGAATACTTGTCAGGAAGACAGCAGCGAGTCATGGTACGTGGCGAGGTGTCTGAGTGGGCACCTGTGACCAGCGGGGTCCCACAGGGGTCAGTCCTAGAACCAGTGCTGTTTCTGGTATTTGTGAACGACATGACGGAAGGAATAGACTCTGAGGTGTCCCTGTTTGCAGATGACGTGAAGTTGATGAGAAGAATTCACTCGATCGAAGACCAGGCAGAACTACAAAGGGATCTGGACAGGCTGCAGACCTGGTCCAGCAATTGGCTCCTGGAGTTCAATCCCACCAAGTGCAAAGTCATGAAGATTGGGGAAGGGCAAAGAAGACCGCAGACGGAGTACAGTCTAGGAGGCCAGAGACTACAAACCTCACTCAAGGAAAAAGATCTTGGGGTGAGTATAACACCAGGCACATCTCCTGAACCGCACATCAATCAAATAACTGCTGCAGCATATGGGCGCCTAGCAAACCTCAGAACAGCATTCCGACATCTAATAAGGAATCGTTCAGGACCCTGTTACACCGTGTACGTTTAGGCCCATATTGGAGTATGCGGCACCAGTTTGGAACCCACACCTAGCCAAGCACGTAAAGAAACTAGAGAAAGTGCAAAGGTTTGCAACAAGACTAGTCCCAGAGCTAAGAGGTATGTCCTACGAGGAGAGGTTAAGGGAAATCAACCTGACGACACGGAGGACAGGAGAGATAGGGGGGGACATGATAACGACATACAAAATACTGAGAGGAATTGACAAGGTGGACAAAGACAGGATGCTCCAGAGATTGGACACGGTAACAAGGGGACACAGTTGGAAGTTGAAGATACAGATGAATCACAGGGATGTTAGGAAGTATTTCTTCAGCCACAGAGTAGTCAGTAAGTGGAATAGTTTGGGAAGCGATGTAGTGGAGGCAGGATCCATACATAGCTTTAAGCAGAGGAATGATAAAGCTCACGGTTCAGAGAGAGTGACTTAGTAGCGATCAGTGAAGAGGCGGGGCCAGGAGCTCGGACTCGACCCCCGCAACCTCAACTAGGTGAGTACACACACACACACACACACACACACACACACACACACACACACACACACACACACACACACACACACACACACACACACACACACACACACTGACACACACACACACACACTGACACACACACACACACACCACACGACACACACACACACACTGACACACACACACACACACACACACACACACACACACACACACACACACACACACACACACACACACACACACACACACACACACACACACACACAGTCCTCTTCCTTTTCACTCCTCACAGGTGTCTGATCTTGTAAGAAAATCAGCGTAATATAGTGAAGCTGTGTTGACTGCCGAGGTGTGAGACTATAAAAAACATTTACCTGTGACTTGGTTTGATCAGCCGGGCTGTGATTCGTGCGCTTGACTACGTGAGACCAACAGTAACAGCCTGGCTGATAAGGTCCTGATCCACCGGCAGGCCTGATCAAGGACTAGGCCGCGGGGGCGTTAACCCTCGGAACAGCCTTCGGGTAGGTAGACCCTCGCAACCCGGCCTGAGTCCCGGCTTCCCCGTTAACCACCTGGTGAATAAGGCTGTTGGTGTTAGCCTCCCACAAGTGCGTGCACTTTAGGCACCACAGCCCAGCTGATCAGGCTCTTATCTAGAGGCAATCTGCAAGTCGTTTTGGGGGTCAACGCCCCCAGCGACCCGGTCCTCGATAAGGCCTCCCAGAGAATCAGGGTTAGATCACCCAGGCTGTTACTGCTGGCCGTACGCAGTCCAGTGTACAAGCCACAGCCCGGCTGATCAATCACTGACTTTAGGTATCTGTCCAGTTTCTTCTTGAAGGCAGTCAGGAATTTATTGGTAATTTCCCTCATGTATGATGGGAGGCTGTTGAACAGTGTTGGGCCCCGGACACTTACTGTGTTTTTTCTTAGTGCACTCATGGTGCTCCTGCTTTTCACTGGGGAGATGTTGCACCGTCTACCTAGTCTTTTGCTTTCTTAGAGAGTGATTTTTGTGTGCAGATTTGGGACAAGCCTCTGTAGGATTTTACAGGTGTAGATTATGATTCATCTTTCTCGCCTGCATTCCAGGGAGTACAGAACTTCAAACGTTCCCCAATAATTACGGTGCTGAATTAATGTGTGTAGAGAAGGTTCTCTGTACATTCTTTAGACTTGCAACTTCACCTGCCTTGAATGGAGCCGTTAATGTGCAGCAGTATTCCAGCCTTGAGAGAACAAGTGACTTAAAAAGGATCGTCATTGTCATGGCATCCTTTGTTTTGAAAGTTCTCATTATCCATATTATCATTTTCCTCACAGATGTTATAGTGACTTGTGTTCCATGAAGGTGAGATCCTCTGACATTATCACTCCCAGGTCCTTCACATTAGTTTTTCGCTCTATTGTGTAGTTAGAGTTTGTAGTATATTCTGTTCCAGTTATTCTTACCTCAGGTTTTTCATAACGGAATAACTGAAATTTGTCTTCATTCAACATCTTATTGTTTTCTGTGGTCCACTGTATGTCCGGTGGGAAGTTCACAGTGTCTTCAATGGATGACACTCGTGCAGATTTTAGTATCGTCTGCAGAAGACAGGATACTATGGGTTACATCTCTGTCTACTATGTCTGTTATGTCGGTATAAAATACCGACACAATGGAAATATAAACACTTAAGCAGTATAATGTGATCTTCTATTGACAACATTTCGCCCACACAGTGGGCTTTATCAAGTTACAAACAGATCTCCCTGGGTGTAAGGTACCTTATACCCAGGTAGATCTGTTTGTGACTTGATAAAGCCCACTGCGTGGGCGAAAGTTATCAATAAAGGATCACATTATACTGCTTAAGTGTTTATATTTCCAAAGTAAGGAACAGGATGGGGACAAGTGCTGTATCTTATGGAACACAGCTTTTCACTGTGGCAACCTCCGACTTTCTTTACCATTACTCTTTGTGTACTATTGGTTAGTTGATGATCCACCTGCTCACTTTTACAAGTATTCCTTTTGCACGCATTTTGTGCCCTCCCTGGAAATGGTAATCCAGTTTTCTTCTGAAAACTTCTGGCTTCGTTCTATCAGCGATTCTGATATTTGCTGAACGAAGTCTAACCGTTGATGACACTGTTACCACCTACCAACACCAGATATGTTGAGGCAGGCTGGAGTATGCCAGCAGAGAGCTTTCGTAATAAAGGGAGTTGGGTAACGTTGTATGGTGCGACAGTTGTTGGTGTGAAGTTATGGTCTGCGGATTGTTAATGGTTGTATGGTGGTAACTGTACAACCACGTGACTACTGAGGATCACTGTTATGTACATGCTGGTGGTGTGTGGTATTGTGGATGGTGACATATAATGGTTTGTCATGTTTTGTATGGCAGTATGTGATGTGTATGGTGTGTATTATATGATT